TGGGGTATATCAGGGAGTGTCACAGTGAGGGGTGTGGGGTATATGAGGGTGTGTCACAGTGAGGGGTGTGGGGTATATCAGGGAGTGTCACAGTGAGGGGGGTGGGGTATATGAGGGTGTGTCACAGTGAGGGGTGTGGGGTATATGAGGGTGTGTCACAGTGAGGGATGCAGGGTATATAAGGGAGTGACACGAGCTAACTGGCACACTGTTAACAGGATTAAAGAGGTAAACGCGTGGCTCAGAGATTGATGTTGGGAGAAATTCCTGGGTCATTGGCACTCCAGAAGGAGGGAGCTTTTCCGATGGGACAGGCTACACCTGAATTCTGCTTGGACCAGAGTCCTGCCGAATCACATAACTAGGGCTGTGCATAGGGCTTTAAACTAAATAGTGAAGGGTGGGTTCTGCTGCATGGAGAATTATGGAAAAAGTTAAACGGGGTGAGGAAGGGCTCAGCAGAGGTTTGTCAAGTTTCCATAACAAGTAATAGGTCAGGGAGCATGGAAAGGGTCAGAAACAAAACTTTAGGCACAGCAGATAAGGGGAGATAACTCAGACTGTCCCCTTCTCGATACAGGACTAAGGGTTTGGTATATGTGGTCTCGGAAAAAAGGTTAATGAGCTTGTAGTGCAGTGTGAAATTGGTGGGTAAGATGTTGTGGGTATCACAGAGACATGGCCGCAGGGGAGACATGGCCGCAGGGAGATCCGTGTTGGGAGCGAAATATCCAAGATACACATCATAGCGAGAACGGGGTTGCCTTGTCCGTAAGCAATGAAATTAAATGGATAGCAAGAAGTGATATGGAGCTGGAAGGTGTAGAATCCGTATGGGGAGAGTTGAGAAATCACAAAGGATAAAAGACCCTGATAAGAGTTATGTCCAGTCTAAAATCAGGATGTGGGGCAGAAAATAAATCAGGAAATAAATCAGAAAAGAATCAAAGGGGAGATAGTAAGAACTGCAGATGCTGGAGTCTGAGATAACACAGTGTGGAGCTGGAGGAACACAGCAGGCCAGGTAACATCAGAGGAGCAGGAGAGTCGATGTTTCGGGTTGGGACCCTTCATCAGGAATCAAAGGGGACTTCAATATGTAGGTGAGCTGGGAAAATCAGGTTGGAAGCAGATGACAGGAAAAGGAATTCATGGAATGTCTACGAGATGGTATTTTTTTGGAGAGCTTGTGGTAGAGCCCACTAGGGAACAGGCAATTCTGCATTTGGAGATGTGTAATGAGGAAGAGTTCATTAGGGAGCTGCAGGTGAAGGAACCCCTGGGGGCAGTTACAATAATATGATCAAATTCACTGTGCAGTTCGAGAGAAGATTGAATCAGATGTAACTGTATTACAGTTGAATAAAGACGGCTACAGTAACATGGGGGAGGAGCTGGTAGGAGTTGATTGGAAGGGGAGCCGGAGCAGGCAAGATGGTGGAGCAGCAATGCCAGGAGTTTCTGGGGGTAATTCGAGAGGCTCAGCAGAAATTCATCCCAAGGAAGAAGAAACATAATCAGGGGGAGATGAGGCTGACAAGGGAAGTCAGGGACAGCATAAGAAAGTAAATGCAATGTTTGCACTCATTTCAAGAAGGCTAGAATACAAGAGCAGAGATGTGTTGCTGAGGCTGTGTAGGGCTCTGGTCAGGTCACATTTGGAATATTGTGAGTAGTTTTGAGCTCTATATCTAAGGGAGGATGGGCTGGCATTGGAGGGAGTCCAGAAGGGGTTCATTAGAAATGATCCTGGGAATGAAGACCTTGTCATATGAGGAGTGGTTGAGAACTCCAGGTCTGTATGCGATGGAGTTTAGAAGGATGGGGAGGAGGGATCTAATTGAAACTTACAGAATACTGAGAGGCCTGGATAGAGTGGACACGGAGAAGGTGTTTCCACTAGTAGGAGAGACTAGGGCCTGAGGGCAGAGCCTCAGAGTGAAAGGATGACCCTTTGGAAGTGAGATGAGGAGGAATTTCTTCAGCCAGAGGGTGGGGAATCTGTGGAACTTATTGCTGCAGAGGGATATGGGGTCCAAGTCATTGAGTGTCTTTAAGACAGAGTTAGATTAGTAAAGGGATCAAGGGTTACAGGGAGAAGGCAGGAGAACGGGGTTGAGAAACATAAGCTACGACTGAATGGTGGAACAGGCTTGATGGGCCAATTGGCCTAATTCTGCTCCTGTACCTTATGGTCTTATACTGTTATATTCCTGTTCATTCCTTATGAATGTTGTTCTCCTGTCAGAGCATTCCTTTTTTATGGATGCGTCTGTGAAACGGATTATTATTTGATCCCTTGAATTTCAGCATTCCTAACTGTTCTATTGACTTGAACTCTGTGTAGTCTCCTAATCCTACCCCTTTCTGCTGTCACTGCTCTTAATGTTTGTCTCTCCCCTCATCCTCGATCGTTCAAGTTTGTTTTTTTGTTCATCCATGATATCCCACTGGTGCTGAGTTAGTGTTTTTCTCTGCGGACTATCCTTTTCCCACACTCTGGACTTTAGTGAGTCGTGTCTAACTGACTGCCGTTGGTTTGCAGGAATGGGGCCGATTTATCTGAACGAGGTTCAGTGCACTGGGTTTGAGAAGTCGATATGGGATTGTGCAGCAAAGAATATCTCTCAGGACGACTGCCGGCACACTGAAGATGCAGGTGTTCGTTGCAATGTCCCCTACATGGGCTTCGAAACTACGGTCAGATCCTTCTGTTCTTTCACCCATT